TACCTTTGGCTGAAAAGTGTAGAAACTACACTGCCTTTTCAATTGATGGTATAGTATACCGATTTAAGGTAGTTCCGTTTGGATTACAAAGCGCTTGTGCAGCACTTGTACGAGCTTTGCATACCATTTTGAATCACCATGAAGAGTTCATCGTCCATTACATCGACGATTTATTAATTTTTTCACAAGATATGCAGAGTCATGTGGAACATATCAAAATAATTTTGAAAGAATTGGACACAGCGGGATTAAAACTAAACATTGAAAAATGTCAATTTTTTCAAAAGGAAGTGATTTATTTGGGTTTCAAACTTGACACCAAAACTGTAAGTCTAGCCGAGGACAGAGTAAAGCTCATCGACGAATACCCAAGACCAACAAATCTAAAAACATTGCGAGGGTTTCTCGGTACGATAAATTATTTCAAGAAATTAATTCCCGATTTAAGCCAAAAAGAAATTCCTTTAATAAAATTGTTAAAGAAAGGGACAAAATGGAATTGGAAAGAAGAACAGGAGGAAGCTTTCAAAATATTGAAACAAGAATTTGCTAAAGGAACGAAAATATATCACCCTATTTACAATTTGCCGTTTATACTCCGTACGGATGCGTCGATACAGAAATTTGCAGGAGTGTTGTCGCAAATACAAAACGGCCAAGAGGTTCCGATATGTTTTATATCTCGGGTGACTAAAACACATGAGAGAAAATACAGTGTCACCGAGTTGGAATTCGCCAGTGTACTATTTTGCGTAAACAAATTAAGGTTTTACTTATTGGGAGCTAAATTCACCATCGAAACGGATCATGCAGCATTGATACACATCATGAAGAATCGATTGGTAAATAACAGAATACACAGAGGCATTCTGCTCTTACAAGAGTATGATTTCGAATTCCGATACATCAAAGGGAAAGACAACATAATAGCTGACGCTTTAACACGGGACGAAGATACAGGAAAAAAAGAGACAATTACATTACATGTGGGATTGAATATATTGACACAAGCCGAAGGGATATTTTCGTTAAATGAGATAAGGACCGACCAGGAAGGCCTAGAAGAAAGAGAAAAGAGAAGAGCGGAGCTAGAAAACGAGATATTTTTTAAGAGAATAGACGGAAAGGAATTATATTTAGTGACACCGACATTGGCAGAAAGAATCATAAAGAAGCTACACGAGGAAAATGGACATATTGGCAGCAGAAAGGTATGGCTTGTGTTTAGGGAAAACTACATCAGTCGACAAGATTACCGCATTGCAAAAGAGATCACACAGAAATGCGAAGTATGCCAGAAATACAAGAGCAGGAATTTTAAAAACGAAAATATTGCAAAGAGCATTGTATCCCGGAACAACCTGGACATTATAGCCATCGACATGTTAAGCGATCTAATTGTGACCACCCAAAGGAACAAGCATATTCTGGTGATGGTGGATGTGTTCTCAAAATACGTGAAATTATATAGTTGCCGCACTACAAAAGGGGAAGAAATATTGAGAAAAATAGACAATTTCATCGCTACGGTAGGAACCCCAAGAAAAATTTTACTAGACAATGCAACGTACTTCCGAAATGATCGTTTCAAGGGACAGCTTAGAGAACGGGGAATCGAGACGAACTTTGTAAGCATCAGGCATCCCCAAAGTAATCCTTCTGAGCGATTTATACAAGAGGTAACGAAATTTCTTCGCATTGCAACGGATGGTCAACATCGGCGATGGGACAGAAAATTGGGAGAAATAGAGATGTACCTAAATTCTATGCCAAGTACAGTAACGAAAGAAACACCAGAATACATCATGAAAGGCGTCATGCCGATAAGACCGTGGGAAGATCCAGAACAAAGAGAGTATCGACAGGTTATAGAAACGGTTCAGAGGAGATTAAGAAGAAGCAATGAGAAATATATCCAGAGACAGGGTCATAATAGGAAACGAAGACCAGTAATTTTCCAAAAGGGTGACAAAGTAATGGTAAGAGCATTAAGAGTGTCAAATCTTCAGAGCGGTATTTGCGCAAAATTGATGCCTGTTTTCGAAGGGCCATACATAGTAAACAACGAAGATGGAGTAAACAGCTATGAGTTGAAACATATGGATTCTGAAAAGATCAGAGGTGTTTATAATATCCATGATGTATATAAATATCACGAATGAAGATTTAAATTTGTATAAAGTAGATAGTAGGATAGGATAATACGTAGCATAAGTACAGCTAGCATACAGGAAGTGCGTTTTAGTTTGCCTCGAGAAAATTTAGTTGCATAGATTGATAAATTTTATCGATTACAAAGGCGGGGATTTGTTGTACTTTTGAATGTCCATTAGCAATAAAAAACCGATATACAAATTTTATTACTTAAATAAAAATTAAAATTATTGATATTTCATAAAGACACGGGCATATAAGTTTTCAAACATCCTGTATAAGACAAAATATGTATTTTAAGTTGTTCGAAGAATTGTTCATTAGGCCTCAGAGACAAGACTTTCAAATATTATCGATAAGAAATTTAAATAAGTCGGTTATTGTGGAATGGATTTACCCGTAATAAAAGTGTATATAGAAAGTGTTTAAACAATAGACCGGGATGTGCGGTGGTTTTTCCCCCCGAAAGATTATATCGGTAAAAGTTTATTAACAAAAGACATTGAATTGAGAAACAGGTATCGTTTGTAGCTATTAGTAAGAAATATTTGTAAAGCAGATAGATTTAGTTAGAATAATTAAAGAATGTTGTTTTCTGGAATTACCCGAATGACGTTTTATAGAGAGAGTCAGAGGTAGAAGATTTTTATTGGTCAATTTTTGAATGCAAGGAGGGAGTGGTTTTAGCTATGAGATAGGAGAGAGGAAAGGAGTTAGTCAGTTTTCGTCGCCCAAGAAGGAAGGAGCTTTGTGGTTTGTGTTTGTTTAAAGTCCCGAAGACGTAATTTACCGGGTGTGTTTATTTGCTGTGTAAAAGCTGATCAGTGTGAGGAACGGGGTACAGAGAGATAGAAAAACCAAAGGGTATAAGAATATTAACATCAGACGAAGCCGGAAACATTTGAAGTTATAAACAGGCGCGGAGATTGGGTCAAAAGGAGGCTGCATAGAATTACACGAGTTGTTGGGTTGCAGATACAAGGACAGATAGGAGAAAGGTGTACGTCATTTGGACCACAATAGGAGCAGAAGCAGAGAAAGGTTTTTTTTATGGCGAGGTCATAGAATTACAACGGCAGAGAACGAAAGGTCAGTCAATTTTCATTAGAGCAGGAGTGTGATTTTCATTTATTAATTAAATAAATTGAATAAACAATAGAGACAGTTAATTTTGCGATCATTTAAAGAAAAAAATTATAAAGAGAGCTTAGTTATAACACATATTAAAAATCAATGTAAAATAACATTTGGGTCCATGATAGAAAACAACTTCTCATATTTTTAAAGTATTATATTGCAAATATTACAGGATTGATTGTTATATAAAATTTCATTAAAATAAAGGACATCTCAAATATAGTTCAGTTGAAATTCTGTGTATTTTATTCAGGTCATATTACCTATCCCAATTAGGAAGCCAATTGGAAAATATTTTGAATCCACGATCAAAGGTAAATGGTACAAGTTAAATAGCCTGAGATTGTAATTAATTAATGCTGATTTATTGTGATTAATTGGAGATAAGATCATTTAATAAATGTAGACAAGATCTTTTCTAAATAAGCAATAGAATACAATTTAAATAGCATAACAATATATATATATATATATATATATATATATATATATATATATATATATATATATATATATATAAGAATAAGAAAAAAGAAGTACTTGTGACTCGTTTGGAAAAAATATAACACTGTTTTTGATGGGTTGGAGTCAATAAAAGGGGATATTTGTTGACTATTTTTTACTCGAGCTTTCAATTGTGATTACAATTTTTATCAAGAGCTTCTAAAAAATACAAAATGTCTTACAAAGTTGAACTAGAAATAAAAAATTTTTTGTTAACTCATCAAATAAAATTAGTTTTTTATATAAAACTACTGCTTACATAATAAATACAAAAAATATTAATAAAAAAATGCCTTATTCTAATAAATGTTTCTCTGAAAAATTTAGATGAAGTTTCTTAAGAAAAAAAAAAAAAATTGAATTTATAAACAAAAATTGAATAGCTACAACCAGCCTAAAATGACATAAATACTAACTTAAAAATTTTTATTTTTGACATATTGTCAAAAATAAAATTTTGTTTAAAAAATTCTTCTTTGTTAAGTAACAAAAAAGAAGAAGATTTATTCACCATTGATAGATGCCCGAAAAAATGTAACAAATACATGGAAAATTCAAAATGTGATATTTTACTGACTGCATAAATTAAATAGAAATTATATAATTATAAATTTTGCTTAAATTTTGAATTTCTGACCTTTTGTTTAAATTATTATCACTTTTGCTAATACAAACCATTTCCAAAAAAGTTCTTTTAAATTTATTACTTTCATTACATAAAATTTTAATATTATCAAAATCCATAATATGGTCTTTGTCTATTACATGCTCTGCCAAATTTGGTAATAGTTACGGAATGTAGAGCTTGTATGTTGTGCAATGTAGGTTGCTACCACAATTGCTTCTTCAAAATTGGCCCTGTTCAATGCCTGGGTGTCTTTTTTATCTAAGAGCAATTTCGCATACAAAACCATAGTAGGGTCAAGAGTATTCAATAATTGGACTGCTCTGATGAACCTGTCTTGGAGACCTCTCAAAAACATCATTTGCAAGAACTCGGGGTGCTCTTGCATGATGTACTTATCTATTAAGAAGAGATGATGCATTTCTAATGATCTATTCAAAAATAGGACCTCCGAGAGACCCTTAGATATGAAATTTTTGCTACGGCGACAGATGGCAATGAGTTCTTTAAAAAACTCTTTTCTAACCTGGTGGTTGGCTCCAAGAAACCTTTGTAGCTGTTGCAATTTAGGGAGGTACGGTTAGGTTCCTAGATTTGAATTCTCAGGAGTAAAAGTATCTCCCAAGGTTCCCGAGAAGTCTTTGATCCTTTTGTTGAACCATCCTTCATAGTTGTTGTCTGACAAAGCTTTAGTCATGGATGTCAGAATCACACATGAGTATATAAATATAAGGTATGACTGATTGAACTCTCTGTGTTTCGTTCTCCATTGTTCTAAGAACTTCTTGTACCGGATATCGGTGTTCATATCATTCTTAAAATCTTCAACAGATTTTGCATCAAATACCATATTTATTCCCGCTGATGCCATGGCTTCTTTCATATTTGGCCAGGGGAGTCTACTTTTCAGATCTATACAAGCTGCTAGCATTCCTATTACCCAACATAATAGTTGCTTGGGTTGTTCTAGTGGAACTGATGTATCAGTATAAAATCGGGAAACTAGATACCCCAACACATAATTTAATTCCTTTTCAGAGATGCTGCCATCCTTATTTAAATATGGAATATGGAAATTTTTCAAAGATATGTCTTTGGGTTCCGTTGATTGTAGAATTAAGAAACCATCTTGTGCTTTGGCAGAGCATGTAATAGACAAAGACCATATTATGGATTTTGATAATATTAAAATTTTATGTAATGAAAGTAATAAATTTAAAAGAACTTTTTTGGAAATGGTTTGTATTAGCAAAAGTGATAATAATTTAAACAAAAGGTCAGAAATTCAAAATTTAAGCAAAATTTATAATTATATAATTTCTATTTAATTTATGCAGTCAGTAAAATATCACATTTTGAATTTTCCATGTATTTGTTACATTTTTTCGGGCATCTATCAATGGTGAATAAATCTTCTTCTTTTTTGTTACTTAACAAAGAAGAATTTTTTAAACAAAATTTTATTTTTGACAATATGTCAAAAATAAAAATTTTTAAGTTAGTATTTATGTCATTTTAGGCTGGTTGTAGCTATTCTATTTTTGTTTATAAATTCAATTTTTTTTTTCTTAAGAAACTTCATCTAAATTTTTCAGAGAAACATTTATTAGAATAAGGCATTTTTTTATTAATATTTTTTGTATTTATTATGTAAGCAGTAGTTTTATATAAAAAACTAATTTTATTTGGTGAGTTAACAAAAAATTTTTTATTTCTAGTTCAACTTTGTAAGACATTTTGTATTTTTTAGAAGCTCTTGATAAAAATTGTAATCACAATTGAAAGCTCGAGTAAAAAATAGTCAACAAATAGCCCCTTTTATTGACTCCAACCCATCAAAAACAGTGTTATATTTTTTATATATATTATATATATATATATATATATATATATATATATATATATATATATATATATATATATATATATCGGTTGTGTGAGAATAAAAGTTAAAAAAAAGGAGAAGCCTCTGTGTCAGATAACATTATTGTTTTTCTTGACACATTTCGTATGAGTAAATAGTCGCTTGCAGCAAAATGGTATATAAATCATCATTCATGGAAATATCATTCATTTTTCTCTATAGAGAGATCGACTTTTCTCTGGGAGAATTATTGCCTTAAAAGCTTTAAGTCTTGTTTAAGTTATTGTCATGTGTTATATCAACGCAAATGTCATATTATATCCGTTGTAGATTACCCAAGTTACTTTAACATACATACTATCATTTTGTTTGTAATAGGAAACCTACCTCTTTTATATTCATTTCTAACGTTATTATGTCTGTTTAGTGGTATAATAATAAAGGGAAAAAATAATAATATTGATTTTTTTTATTTGATTTAAATATTACAATTATGAATATATTTAGTAATTTTATTTATTGATAAAATTTTCTTATTTATAGAATCTAATGTAGTTTGAAGCTGTGTTTTCTTCTTTTTCATTATATTTATACTTGCTAGGAGTTCTGTCTCTTTTTCTACACATTGTTTCAGCTTCCTTTCTATACGTAGCTTTTTTGTCATAAGAAATTTTTTGTTTACATTAATAAATTTTCCCACTATTTTTTCATTTGAAATTGTTCCTTATTTTCTAAACACATCTCATCATTATAGTTAAATGTTTTATCCATGGAGTTATCGGCAATATATTGATTATGAGATACATCTTGAGTATTTCCATCAAAGACAAATTCATTATGACCAGCTTCCATGTAATTTTCTCCGTCAACGTTATTTTCAGGGAGATTTTCAACTGTTTCATCGACCATCGAGTTTATTGTGATGCCTTCTGGAGTTTGATGAAACTCACTTTTAACTTCCGCTGGCAATAGATTGCGTTTTATTTCTTCGTCACTAGCAATTTCTTCCATATGGTTAGCAAGAGTTGATGATGCTGGTACATGCCTTGTAAAGGATCTATATAAAATTGGCTTAACTGTTGCAGGATCGTCTAAAAACACCAACGAAGTTGAACTTTGATGATCCTATCATGAATGTGTTGCTTGTGTGAGTTCATTTCTTTACCTATTTGATGATCCTCTTCTTCGTTGATAGTATTGGGCAACTTTACTTCATGATCAGAATCGACAGATTTCTTGTAATGGCTGACTATTTTTATACCTTTACTTCCACCCCGCGGTTTGGGGTAACTTTGGTACTTGTAACAGTTTTCATTATAACTTTTAAAACTCAAATAACTTGAGAATGATCAGAAAAAATAAAGTTGTTGTATTTTTATGTGAGATCAACCTTAGACCTTGTACCTTGTCTTTTTATGTAGTTATTTTTAAGTACATATATCGTATTGCCATAATTTCGCGCATTTTTTATGTCGATAATGCAATTATTATGGTTATGATTAGAAGAATCACAGGTACCTAAAAATACATATTTCTTGTACATATCTCAAGGAAAACGCATAATCTCACGGATGTTTTTTGTCGTTTTTTGATTGAATTTGGTTTACAGGAACTGAAACTCAAGAAAATCCCAAAATACTTCTTAATGTGTCTTTATTTGAACTACAAAATTAAAATAAAATCTTTAACTGATCTTTGTTCTGAGATCTTATTACGGATTTTATTCGTTTAGGTTCTGCTATATTATTCTTTTTGAATCTTAGATCATCTTAATACAACGTTTCACCTATCCATTTTGAATGGGACTGTGATTTTTTCATTATTCTATGATTCTCTCGTTGTTATCTGTGGTCTTTAACCACTCGTTTCTCATATTTTAAAATACGACAAGAAGAAGAATTAACTTATGATTCTCTCATGTTTTTATGTCTTACTCTTGGTTTTTGACAATAATAGATTGAAACATATTAAGAATTTCTTGATTTGACCAAACCATTTAATTTTTCATTATTTTGCCGGTTAGATAATAATCTCGAATTACGATAAGCATGATTAGGTTTCTGTAAATATATCAAAGAAAAAATAGTATTTCTTATAAAGCAAAATATTTTAACACACACTTTTTATTTGCGTGGACAAATAATTCGTTTTTAGTTATTGAGAAAATTTATTGTAACCATAATATAATTCTAAGAAGGCTTATAGTATGAGGCATTACAAAAGATACATTTTGAATCCATCAAATACCCACATACATCACTACATTCATGTTTCTGGTAGTTCTGCTTACACGGTAAATACTGACTGACTTCATTACGTATTTTTTTTTTTTAATTTTTCACCAAAAAGAAGCAGTAATGTACTCCAACAAAATTGAAATAATATTCTCCAACTGACCTTTGTTCTGAGATACTATTACGTATCTAATTCGTTTAGGTTCTGCTATTCTATTCTTTCCGAATCGATGATAATCTTTAAATACAACATTCCACTTATCCATGTTGCAATTGACTGAGATTTTTTCGTTATTCTATGATTTTCTCGTTGTTATCTGCGATCCTTGGCCTTGTCCAATGTTGATCCCTTCATACCATCCGTATATTTATTGGTTGATTCCTTTAGTCTCTCCACTCTTATCTGATATCGTATCTAACGGTTTTTCCATTTTTTAAATTCTAATCTGTTGATACTCGACCTTGTCCAATGTTATCAGGTGATCCTCGACCGGAAGTCTCTGACCTCTCTCATTGGTTTGACCGGAAGTCTTGTCATCCGATCCAATGACAACTACCCACTATGCATACACCGTGACCGACGGAATTTTAGAAAAAGAAAAGAGAGCACCAACTTGCACAAAATGATTGATGCAAATGCACTGATCCAAAAAACTCACTGGATTTGCTTTTTCTTTGTTCTCTTTGTTTCAGGCACGTGGTCGACCCAAGGGGTCAGAACAATGGCGTGGTCAAAATAATGGCTACTGTCTGACCCTGCGCTGTAGGATATCGTCGCACTGCCTAAAAAACACGAAAACTCTACCGTCTGCTTTGAAGCTCACTGTCCTTACTCCTCACTGACCATTTGCTCTAATCCATGCTTAATATCTTTAATACTCTTCCGGTTTCGTAAAATCGAGTCTTTGTATTGGTTTAAATAGACTGTACATAGCATTTTTATTATTATTTTAAAATCCTTTATTGTCTGTGCATCGATTAACAAAGATATGCGGACCAAGTAAAATTGTCTTATTTTTTCGTTTTATACAGCTTTTCTAGATGACCAGTTAGCAATCATTTTGATGAAGTGGTTAACATTTAATTTATCGTAAGTTGCAATTGCTGGACGCATTATTATTGTTGTATCGCCAGGTGCGTTAAAAAAGTGTTTCGATGTATGTTTTAATATTTTGCTCATTAAAGGCTAACGAGATTTCGTTGATTAAAGCTCTAGAATAATCGAGGCGTTCAGAATAATCGAGGAGCAAGTCAGAGATATTTAGAGTTAAAGTTAACAAGCTCTTCAGTATTACATAGTACACCAACGAACCTAATCTAAGTGAAAACCTCTTATGTAATATGTAGTTTACATAATTAAACTATGTGTAATAGTAAATAAATAACCTTGTTAGAAATAATTGGAGATTCTTGAAAAAAATTGGACTTGATCCATTATTACTCTGAAATATTTGGTAAAAAAAAATGGATTAAAAAGCGAAGTATGACAAAACTGGAATTTTAGTTACAAAAAATAATAACAAATAAAAAACGTATTACAACAGTGTTCAATAATACTCTCACAGCTTAAGTGGCATTAGTTTTAATCATCATAGACCAGTTCATAATCGTCTATGTCGTCTGCTTCACCCTGTTGCTGGATTCGTGAACGGCTTCCTGTGTTGATGCAGAGATTTTTAAAATGATAGTGTGTGACTGGTGGCAGATACGGGAGGAGAGACAGCATGTCCTTTTTCTTTGCTTCTGTCACGAGTCTAGGTGTGGAGTACAGATGACTTTGATTACCAATGAATTTTGAGACATTTGTTTTGTCCATCGAGACAGTAAAAAACG